GTGGAGTGAACCAGTTAGATGGAAAATCTCTACTTCTCCCTTTCTTTCTCTCTTATCATTGTCTCTGCCAACCCTGTTTTCAAATAAATAAATATTTGGAAAACCTATGTGGGCTTCATATTTCTTCTTTGTAAATACCAGAGGAATTTACCTGCAGCCACCCAGTGGTCTAGCGGCTAACCTCCTACCTATACATAAAATACTCACCAAGAAAATTTCAGCAGCAGGACTTCAAGGCTAAATGGAGAGAGTACCAAGTGAAGATTCACCTGACCTCTGAACTTTGTGGTGAAAGCACTCCCCAGGGAAGAGAAGCAGCAATTGCCAAGAGCCTGCAGTGGGCACATTCCCAGGATACACTGACCCTGTCCTGTTTACCACACATACATGAGAAAGTCAATAGTCCTCATAGTCTTTAGATACAGTTTGGAACTTTATTTTCACATCAGCCCAAGTAGTGCATAGAACTGTTCACATATGACTTCAATTTTCTCAAATTAGAGAAAGAGAATGATAGATAAAACAATCTCAGGATATGTCTAAGAAGTCACAACTTCTACACTTAAGTTTTTATATTCTTCTTATGTAAGTATATTTGCCTTCTGTTAGCTACCTACTTTCCTTAACTCTCCTTTTGCATTACAGCTGGAAAAAACAGGCACAGTAAGCACACATTAAAGGTATAGAGAAAGCAGAATCATATATAATTTGTGAAACAGACAGATGCTTGGAACCATTTCCATTAAGTTTTACTAATTAATGTGCTTTCTGGGGCTGGAAGAAGTAGCTTCAGGGAGCATCTAGGATATTAGCATCTCTCTTTAACTCAAAGGGATCTGCCAAGAAAGAAATGAGTTTATCACTTGATGAAGTCAGCACTGGAGCAGTTCCATAAATTGCAAAATATTCAGGGTTACTAGTTGGTAGCCGCTATGTCATGCTAAACATTTTTTTAAATAATAGTTATGATACTTCCTGAAAGTAAAGAAATACTGTATAATTTTAAATCTATTAGCAGTGGTCTTTAGGTTAATAAAACCTTGTTGCAATGAGACAGGGAGATTCTTCCTCTTTTTCATGCCAGCAAGCCCTTTGACAGAGTATCTTAGAATTCTTTTGTTTTCATACTTGCAAAGTGATATTTGTCATGTGCTTATGAAATTCTGAATAGATTCAAGTGAGGATGATGACAATGCAAAACTGGTTCAGTTAAATTAATTTGGTATAGTGTATGCATAATTTCCCATCGTCTATGAAATATTTAGGCTGACTAATTGATCCAATTTTGCATATTGTAATAATACTATTCTTTATGAGACAAATTTATCTGCTTTACATCTTTATACTTGATGAAACAGGCTTCTAGAGACTGGTTTTAGGATACTCTTCCTTAGATCAAGGACCTGTTTCCACCTGAAGAAAATGACTGGTTTCATAAAAGACCAACAAGTAATTACTTTGGTTACAAACACACAGACACATCAGACTTATTAGATCCTTGAGGGGGCCGGCGCTGTGGCACAGTGGGTTAACGTCCTGGCCTGAAGCACCTGCATCCCATATGGGCGCCGGTTTGAGACCTGGCTGCTCCACTTCCTGTCCAGCCCTCTGCTATGGCCTGGGAAAGCAGTAAAAGATGGCCCAAGTCCTTGGTCCCCTAAACCCATGTGGGAGACCTGGAAGAAGCTCCTGGCTCCTGGCTTCGGATCGGCGTAGCTCTGGCCATTGAGGCCATCTGGGGAGTGAACCATAGGATGGAAGACCTCTCTCTCTCTCTCTCTCTCCCCTCTTTCTGTGTAACTCTTTCAAATAAATAAACAAATAAATAAATCTTTAAAAAAAAAAAAGATCCTTGAGAAAAGTGTGGTTTATGCAAAAGTATGACCTTGCAAACAAATTGAATTTTTGAGATTTCCCCACATTTTCTTTTATTTCGTCATTACTTTCTAAGCATTCCTACATCACATTAATATTTCCTATAATACCCTAAATGGCTATGATCATAATTAGCTGTTATTCTTTAGTTATTTGGCTTTTTTTTCTGGCTGAAGTTTCTTTCTGGCATTAAGTCTGAGACTTCAGCAGGGTCAGTTAATTCTATCAATTCTCTCTGCTAGGAAACTCAAGACCTAACAAAGGTTGTTGCTTAAAACCTGAATATAAAGGATTTAAATGAAAGAACAAAAAAAAGTTTTCTTAGCTAGTATGATTTCAGATCATATCCTCCTAACAAAACACAATATTTTCAATTCTAATCTATTTTTTTTTTTTTTTTGGACAGGCAGAGTTAGACAGTGAGAGAGAGAGAGAAAGGTCTTCCTTCCGTTGGTTCACTCCCCAAATGGCTGCTATGGCCGGCGCGCTGCGCTGATCTGAAGCCAGGAGCCGGGTGCTTCCTCCTGGTCTCCCATGCGGGTGCAGGGCCCAAGCACTTGGGCCATCTTCCACTGCCCTCCTAGTCCACAGCAGAGAGCTGGACTGGAAGAGGAGCAACTGGGACAGAATCGGAGCCCCAACCAGGGCAAGAACCCAGAATGCCAGCGCCACAGACAGAGGATTGGCCTAATGAGCCGTGGCACCAGCCAATTCTAATCTAATTTTAGCTAGATTTTAAATCATATCTGTTCACATAAATTTGTTCTGTGTATTTATGCTATAGTTACCAGTCAAGCTTATTGCTTTCTATGGCAAAAGAGAATCCAGCTGTTTGGTGAATATGACAATTCATTTACTTGTTGAGATATACTTCATATGGGAATAATTGCCTTGAGAACACTGAGAATGCCTTCCCTTAAAAGTGTCTTTGTACTTACCAACATAGCTCTCATTGCAACATATTTTAGTAATGAAATATGAAAATACAGATATGACTTGTGATCAGTTCAAATGCATTGTTTTCCACTATGGCACAACTTACTATGGTCAATAGAGATGAGGAAATAGTCATTATTTATTTGCAATAATGTAATTCTACATTAGGTAAATTGCATACAAATGAGACTTAAAGTGGAACAAACTAGGATGGAGCAAGTTAAAATGGAACTTCAGAGCAATTTTTTTGTAAGTATACTTCCAGAAATGTCTAATTTTGAAAGCATTTGCCTGGAGGTTGTAAAGGGTCAACAGGAAGAAAAAAAAAGAAAAAGAAAAAGAAGAACACGTGTTGTTCCCCAGTTTCCACTTGCAAATCCAATTGAAACCAGTGAAAGGTTTGTGAAATATCTGCAAGACAATTTGGCCTACTTCAAAAGCTGCATTACATTAATATCTTAATGCATTGTCCTAGTTGTCTTGTATTCATGATCCTTTTAACATCCAGGGTTCCTTCATGGCTTCCCAGGGACTGATAGAAAACAGAATAGCCTAACAAGGGGTATTTGACCTCTCATTTAATTTCAAAGATACTTTGACTCACTAATCTCCCTCACCCCATGCTGAGAAAAGCTCCTGTATAAAGGAATTCATGGATCCAAGGCAATCTTTGTGTTGTCAATATTCATAAAAGCAGGAAGCATAGACAGATATAAAATGCATAATTCTAATACTAGGCTCAGGGGAATTGGGTCCCTGGAACTCAACTGCACAAGTACACGCAGCCAACAGGACCTGCCATTGTAAATATTGTTGATACATTTTGTTTTATTTTATAATTTTTATTTTGTAATGCTGAGTGTATAAATGTCATTACAGCTGTTTGTGGTCTAGGGAGGAACTAGGTGGCCACTTCCTTCTTGTGATCTGTACTTACAAAGCCTCTGTGGTGGCCTGGTGCTGCCTCAGGTGCACAGCAGTGCACCTTGTCAGTTCTGGGTTGAGTTTCTGGAAATGTAGGAGCAATGCAGCATTACTTCATGGCCTCTTGGTGTCAGCGACTGAAGACATTTAATTTCTTTGCAAGGTGGACTTTGATAAGCCACCACTTTGCGTTTCAGGCCTATCTTTGCGGGTAGGACCTATAAGGTTTAAGGGGGCAAGGGTATTTGCTAAGGGAAGAGGGAGCCAGTTGGACATTCTCCACTCAGAAGGAAGCCTCTTCCAGGAAGAAAGATTTGGACTGTAGACTCTCGGCCAGATCAACTGATTTCACATCCGTGACCTCACTTGGATCTCGCAGAACCTCCAGTTTCCTCAGCCAGAAAATGTGGACACATAGCATGGCTTTGTGAGAACTCAAGAGTTAAAATATCTTGGGGTCTGAGAGCACTGTTTTCTTGTTTGTTTCTGTGTTTGCAGGTTAGGTGTCATTGCTATTTCATATTGACCACCATCACTCAGATTTGTCTCATTGCCCAATGCCCTCAACTCTCGTTGAGATAATGTCATAGGGCGTTGCCTGAATGAATGCATGGCTGTGTTGGGGGAAAGAAGGCTATGCCATAAAAACTGAAAGAGACGCTTCAGGTAAACTCAGTCAGCGCCCCTGGGCCTGCCTCCCTCTCTCTCTCTCTCTCTCTCTCTCTCTCTCTCTCTCTCTCTCGTCTGTGTGTGTGTCTCTGGAGAAAAGAAAGTAAACGGAGGCCACGCAGCACCAGCTCTGCCCTCTCCAGCTTCTGCCTGAACCCTCCCGACACACTCCCAGAAGGTGCTGCAAAACACTGCCAAGACCTGGGGGAAAGCCTTAGGAAGTTGACAGACTTAACAAATCAACAAACATTTCTTGGGCACAGGGTGCGCAATTGGCGACACAAAGGTGATAGTGACGCTGCCAGTGCCGGTCTGGTTCAGCCAGGAGCTCAGACATTTTTAACGTCCTGTCCCGAATTCTGAAGCCACTGCAGGTCTAAGGCACCCTTCGAGTTCGCAAGAGGGGCCTGAGACTTGGGGACACGGAAGAATGATAACGTAGGCATTGGCCTGGCTGCGTGAGATTTCCGATCCTGGGTGCCGTCCAGGGTAAGAAAGATAACCTCCTGCGTCATATGCACCTTCCCATGTCTTAACTTTCTCTGAAAACACGGATGGCAAAATCCCTGCTTTAACCCTGAACGGACCCAAGACCACGGGGTAAGCGCTGGACTAGCCCCGACCCAATTTCTGATGCGCCCTCACGTTAACACTGGTAAGAAACAGGCAGCTCTTCCCCAAGAAGCGGGATGGCATTTCTCGGCATCTGTGGGAAGGGGGCCCGGGACAAATCAGGCCAAGAGGCGGCGCATTCCGCCAGGCATCGGCACACGTGTCCCCCTACCCCGGCGCCCCGGCCCGCCCCCGCGCTCCGCCCCATCCAGATCTAGCCGGGTCCGCCAACGCTCGCGAGAATCCGCTCGGCTGCTACGCTTGCCACGTTCCAAAGGACCGAGACAGCCTGGAAAGCTGAAGGCGGCTCGAGCTCACAGGCTGCGGCGCCGCGCCAGAACAGCTCCAAGTCTGCAGGGGGCGGGCAAGCGCGGCAGGGTCCGGCCCCCTCATAGTGGCGCTTGCGATTGGCTCGTAGCCGTCGTCACTCAACTTCTGTGGGCGGGCCGAGGCCGGGCGGGGGCGTGGCCGAGGGGCGGGGAAGCCGCGCGCGCTCGCCTCCGTAGGGAGTCACAGGTTCGGCGCACGCGAGGGCCTGGCGCGCGCAACCTGCACGCGGGCGAAAGTCCTCGGAGGCGCGGCGGGAGGTGCGGAGGCACTGACGCTGCTGCAGGAGCCCCGGCCCGCGCCGATCCAGCGCCCGCTGCCGTCGGCCGCCCCCCAAGATTCCCCAACACTGAGGAAGACTCCCCCTTCCTCGCCCCCAGTCCTCGCCAGCCCCCGCGGAACGCGCCATGGCCCCGCGCAAGAATGCCAAGGGCGGCGGCGGCGGCTTCACCACCACGAGCAGCAGCAGCAGCAGCGGCTCCAGCAGCAGCGGCGGCGGCGGCGGCACGAGCACTAGCAGCAGCATCGGCAGCTGCAGCACCAGCACTCGGAGAGGTCAGAGGCCCTGCGGGGCGGGGTCCGGCGCTGCGGTCCATCTCCCCGGGTGCCCCGTCCTCCGTGGCGTGTCGTACCTCCTCTTGGCGCGCGGGGCGGAGGCCGCGCTCGCGGGGCCTGGCGAGCTGGAGGGCCAAGGGGGCGGAGCGGGGTCCGCGCCCTCGGGTGGGTCTCCCCGTGCTGCCCACACCTGCAGGGCGCAGCCGAGCTGGCCGTTACGTGTCAACTCTTTCTTGGCTGTCAGTGGAATTGAAGCCGGGAGTAGGCGAACAGTTCATCGTTGCCCTGCATACTCGGGTTGTGGGGACTTTGAAAATGTGCCAAAGTCAGGGAAAGTTGAGTTCCTGCCTAACCAGCATCGTTTAAGAGCAACTCAAAGGAGGACTATTAGGGGGATGGAAGTTGGGGAGCGGGGATTGGGAGTGATTTGAATGTCCTTGGAAATTACCTGAAATGTTTTTGCTTTTTTATAGCTTTTTCACATGAGTTGTAGTTACCTTTAAAATATCAACGGATGCCATGAAATAGCTCATGAGCTTCTATTTTTTCCTAAAATCAACCACATATTCACCTTTCTCTCTCCTTGTGCTTACCGAACAAGAACAGATGTTTTAAATCTGTTTCGTCTCATATTTCAGTGGTTCTGTTTCTTTTATATTCCCTTTGACTCATATTTAGGATACTGAAACTGGAATGCACATGTGTGTTGAATGTGAACAACAAACCTCCCTTGGGATAGTTTAGACTGTTGCTGAGCGCTAAATGCAGGGCATTCATGTATATCTGAAAATAACATAACTCCGGTTATGCTTCACAGAACTATTTCCCATATAGCACTTATTTTCATGTGTATTGCTATGGCCTCAATCCCAACTCTTCCTCATTTCTTATCCCCAACTCTTGGTATGATCCTGTCCCATAAGAAGTGCTCAAATATTTGATTAGCAAGCGAATGAATAGTTGGGGTGAAAGTACTGCAGTTAAAGCCATTGCACACATTTAAGTTCAAGAACTCATGTTTGCATTCCAAATGGGAAGACACACACAGTTTGGGGTTCAAAACCAGCCTCATAATTCACCTTTGATTTAAGTAATCTTTTGTGTTCCTTTTCCTTTTGTCTTTAAATGTCAGTTAAACACAGCCCCTCTGGGTCTGGAGCTTCACTTTTTAATATTTCTAAGTGAGAAGAACCCTGTGTGCTGCCTGAGCACCAAGCAGAGGAAGTTGTTAAACAAGACATTAAAGTTTTATGTAGTTATTTTCAGGTGAAGCGTATCTTTGTTCTGTCTATCCTGTGAGCTCCCTAGAAGTGATTAGATCTGAGGAAATTATATGGCCTTTTATTGATAAGTTAGTATTGAGAAATGTGTGTTACATTTCCACATCTACCGAATTAATTCTTGAACCATTTTAACAAGGAGTGAATGAGTTTAGGAAACATTAGGACCAAAATTAACTTATTCTGACTTTTCGTCTTCAGGCATTATGAGCAAACTCTGTCCACATTGAGGATCTATAGCCTGTTAAGCATTTGGCACATTGATTCCATAATTATCCTGAAACAGACTTAGCATGCATCAGACACAATATGTAACACAGAGAAAGGTCCTTGTTACAAACAAAGCAAAACAACAGAAACAACACAGAACAAAATAAAAAACAAAACCCCGGAGTTGGTGTTGGAGTCCTGCGTGTTACATAATGAGTATTCTTTTTTCACAGCTATTTGTTTTCCCAGCAAATGAGTTCTGACTGTGTGTGAGGCGGGGAAGGCACTGGGGATGCAAATCAGGAATCTTTCCATCATCCTACACGGATGAAAATGAGTATGTGGAACAAGCAGTAAAACCAACATTTCTTCTATGACTATGATTGTCTGGTCACTGAGGTATAGACAGTTTCTGCTGGGGAAATCATAAAAGCCAAGGAATTTTTCAAATGCAGTGAGGCCCATGGAATTCCTTGCTGTCATCATAAAGATGGGACATCAATGTCCAGAAAGCTTGTCTAGTTCACTGAAGGTTGCTGACGTCATGGAAACCTAGCTAATTACTGGAAGAACCAAGACCAGAACTGAGATTTTATGATATTCATTCATTACATCATACTTCAAGTTTATGTTCTCCGAAATGTAAGATCCCTAGGGCATCAGGAGCTGACTGGATTACCAGATTTCCTTCTGACTCTTTCATGACATACCTCCTTTAGTTATTGAACGACAGCGCACTTTTGTCAAGTCACTAATTACATTTCCTTTGAGTAAAATTATGTTTACAGCAGCATATTTGAAAATCTTAGTTTGATAAGAGTACATAGGCTCAAATAATAAGTTTTTAAGGATGTTTTGCATTAAGGGTGTAAAGTTGATGGCAACACTAGTCACTTTAAATATTATTGTTTCTTAGATTTTTATGTAAATATATGGGGAAAGAGGGCCTAGTCCTTTAAAACTTGCATTTTAGGGGGAAAAATTTAAAATGGGTGTCTGATTTTAATTTTAACTTAAGTTGAAAGTGATAAAATATTTCCTGCCGAGTTCAGTTTTACTCTTTTCAGTTTTAGTCTTTAAAATAGAAAAGAAATATGAGCACTTTTGACATCTTGCCTTTAACTTGTACATAAAATTTGATTTGCACAGCCAGTTGAGACCAGAAGAAGCCTTTTTCAGATTTACTGATTTGTAAATCTTTCATAAAGAAATATCATGATGTTCTTTTGGGCTTATAACACAGGGACACTAATGTGTATCATTTTTGTTCGTTTAGCTTTTCCCTTTTTGAGTATCACTCTTCCCCTGTAGCTTCTAACCTGCTTTCCATCTGCTTGTTTATTTTGTGTGTCAGCCTGATTTATTACCCTGTACCAGTAGGTGTCACTGGAGAACCCTTCTCATCCACCTTTCAATTTGAAACTTCAGGTTATGTAACAGCAATTAGGGTTTTAACTATTATTTAATCAGTCTGTACATACTCCAAGCTGTTGATAGACAACTACTTAAAAACTCTTAGCCACTTCTGTTCAATTCTATCAAGGTCTCTAAGCAGATTTAGTCATAAGAAATTTAGTAATAAGAATTTGTCCCAAGCAGCCTTTTTATTTAGGCTTAGCATATTCAAAATTAAAAGCACTCAAGTAATATCTGTAAAATATATGCACAGATTAATTTGAAATGTATTTAAAAGGTGTTAGTCATTTGGAGACATGCTTCTGAGGATTTTTTTCCCACATTTTCAGTATCTCTTAAATTACTAAGTAACTTGAAGATACAATGCACTGCTGATTACGTTCTTGTCCCCTTGAATAAAAAGGTGATGGTGAAATTCCCTTTCTTTAGCCAGGGACTTAAGCAGTTAAGCCAGTTGCTTAATCCTCCATTAGTCATTGCAGAATGAAAAGATAGGAGCCATAATTCTTCTACTGCAAGACTTGTGTACTAGTTTGTGGTTGAACCAGCCTGTTCAGATCGCATGAAATCAAGGACTAAGGGAATTCTTGAATGCATATTTAAAAGGTCAAACATGCAAACCTGTGGTGGGCTTGAGAAGGAAAAGGAAGGGTCTGTATCTTAGTCTTGCTTTAAAGTCGTCTGACTCAGATCAGTAAAGACAAGATTATATGAGATTTGCATTTTCAGCTAATTACTAAAACAGTGACTTGGATAATGGCTTATGTGAGCTATCCACCCTATTTTTAGTTGATACCACAGATTTAACTCCTGAGCTGTTTGCTCCCAGAGGTAAACAGAATAACAAAACCCACCAAAATCTTTTTCTCTAGAAAGGCATGATAATTTGAGATAAAGAGCCTAATGTTCTGAAGTCATAATCATTTAACAACTGTGTGACAGGTTGCTTTAAATATCTAATCTCAATCTTCTAAAACAGAAGGAATTACTCTGCTTTCCTTTTAGTGCTGTGACCCATTCTATATCCCCTCATATTTCTCGCGTTTCCATCAAAGTGCTCCTAATGGTAGGGGAACAGTACAAAACTTTCCAGGATACTAAAGTGGAGATTCAAGTAGGGTATTCCATGCTTAAAAATTCTTGATGATTTATTGTAAAAATTAATAATTTGGGGGCCAGTGTTGTGGGGTATTGAGTTGATCTGCTGCCTGTAATGCCAGCATCCCATATGGATGCCAGTTCATGTCCTGGCTGTTCCACTTCTGATCCAGCTCCCTGCTAATGGTGCCTGGGAAGGCAGTGGAGAGTGACCCAAGTGCGTGGGCCCCTGCCATCTACTGAGGAGACCCAGATGAAGCTCCTGGCTCCTGGCTTCTGCCTGACCCGCCCTGTCCATTGCAGCCATTTGGGGAATGAACCAGCGGACTTCTGTCTCTCTCTGTCTTCCCTTTCTTTCTTTAGCTCTGCTTTTCAAATAAATAGATAAAATTTTTTAAAAAATTAGTAATGTTGGGGCTGGCCCTGTGGCACAATGGCTTAAAACCCCAGCCTGCTTTGCTGGCATTCCATATGGATGCTGGTTCGAGTCCTGGCTGCTCCTCTTCAATCCAGCTGTCTGCTATGGCCTGGGAAAGCAGTGGCGGATGGCCCAAGTCCTTGGGCCCCTGCATCAGTGTAGGAGACCTGGAAGACGCTCCTGGCTTCTGGCTTCAGATCAGCTCAGCTCTGGCCATTGTGCCATTTGAGAAGTGGACCAGCGGATGGAAGACCTTTCTCTCGCTCTGTAACTGTTTCAAATTAAAAAAAAAACAAAAAAACAAGCAAACATTAATAATGTTATGTGACTGTAGCACTTGAGTTTTAAGCAAAATGGAGGCTCTTGAGGTAATATTTACAATGTGACTTTGTGTACCACTTGATACATTTGCACCCATGATACATTTGTGTCTGCCTCTGGAAGTGAAAATATTCCATTAGCACAACTGTTGTTAAGTTACTTTGTTCTGCACTTGTTATTTGTTTGTATTTGTTTTTTGAGGATGAGTCTTGGTTACCTTTGGCTGGTATTATCTTGTAAAGGCAAATCACCTAATG